TTTTAGATCATTTGAACATTCCAGAAGGTTCCCTCATGCCCACTTGTGGTTTATCCTCACTCCTTCTCTCGGCCCCAGGCAATCACTGATTTGTTTTCTGACTCTATAGTTCTGTCTCTTTCTAGAAATTTCATATAAATGGAACTATTCAACATGTAATTTTTAAAACCTGCCTTTTTTCACTTAACATAATGTTTCTGAGGTTTATCCATGCAGTTGTAGGCATCAGTAGTTCCTTTATGTTGATGAATGGTTAGTCCACTGTATGGACCCACCACACTTTGTTTATCCATTCACCAGTGGATGGACGTTAAGATGGCTTCTGTTTTTTTGGCTATTATGAATAATACTACTGTGATCATTCATGTACAGATCTTCATGTGGGCACATGTTTTCATTTCATGTGCTCATTAGCTAGCTATTCATACATCTCTTTGGTAAAATGTCTAATCAAGTCTTTTGCCTTCTTTAAAAAATTGAAAAATTTTGCCTTTGCTATGGTCTGAATGTGTCCCTCAAAGTTCATGTGTTGGACACTTAATTCCCTTCCAATACAACAGTGTTCAGAGGAGGGACCTTTAAGAGGTCATGAGAGCTCTACTCTTATGAGTGGATTAATGTCACTATCTTGGGAGTTAGTTCATTATTGTGGAAGTGGGTTTTTCATAAGAGTCTGGTCACTTCTTGCTTTCTCTTGCACTCTCTCACATGCATATGATGCCTTCCACCATATTATGACACAGCAAGAAGACCCTCAGCAGATGTGAAATTCCCAGACTCCTGGACTTCCCAGCCTCCAGAACTGTGAACCAAATACATTTCTGTTCATCATAAATCACCCACCCAATTTGTGGTATTGTGTTATAGCAGCACAAAACAGATGAAGACAGTCTTATTATTGAGTTGTAAAAGTTGGCTCTGGCTCTTAATAGCAGACTAACACTCCAGTCTGAATGAACAGTATGTTCCTGGAGGATAGGTTAATTCTCCCTACCTTTTGTCTTCACCTACCACTGTCACTAACATGTCCCCAGTCTCCCTCTCTAGTACCCACTTCTTTCATCTCTTTCAGAATCTTTCAGGATCAAAATCCCAGGCATTAAGCTCTAAAATGCACCATCCCTTTCTCTTATCAGTCTCATGCAGGCTGAAGTTCTCATCCTCCATCATGACCTACGACATACTTACTTATTGAAAACAAACTCCCAGTCACCTCAACATATTCCCTAATAGTTTCCCTACTTCCTCACAGGAACCGAAACTCAGCTTTCGCTTGAAGTCACAGTTTCTTTGGAACTCTTGCCAGTAGGGGCCACACCTCTCCCTCTTGCTGATTCACAGAGAGGTGGATAAGATGACTTCTTGCTTCCCATATCACACTCAGATCTCTGCCCCATCATCTCTCAAAAGCTACCAACCCTTTCTCTTCAAGTGTATGCCCTCTCTGAACATTATTTTCTGGCTACCTTGTTTGCACATTTCCCTGTTTAGTTGTTACCCTGAAAGAGTGAAACATCAAGTGTTTCTCTGTCTCCAGACATCACAGTTCTCTGACCTACATGTGAATAAAATAAGTGTACTCTCCATTCCGTTCAACACCTGGGCTCCTCGGCACACTCTAAACCTCCAAATCACTCAAGTTACTCAGCTTCCAAGACCCTTCTGGTGTACTGAGTAGAGTGGACTCCGTTGAGCATCTAGTTTCTCCTTGAGACTTTCTCTTCCTCGGACTTTCATGGTAGTCTCTTCTCCGGGGTCTCTTACATCACTGCTCGTCTTTTTCACTTTATACACATAGGTTCTATTGAATAATTGCTTTTGGACTCTCAAAAGCATATTCCCAGCCTTGACCCCTGTTATGGACTGAATTGTGTTCCCTGGAAATTCATATGTTGAAGCTCTAAGCCCCAATGTGACAGTGTTTAACGATGGGGCCATTTAGAGGTAATTCAATTTATCTCTGAAGGGAGGAGATGAGATGGTCAACAATGACTGTGACACAGGTGGACTGGAATGAGCCCTGATTCTCATAGCCCCAGGCGAGCAAGAATTCTACACCAAGAAATCTGGAAGCTGTAACCAAGGCAGTCTAGCAGTGAGGGCATGATCCCTGGGTCTAGCTAGACAAGTGCCTTCCCTTATCTGCAAAGGCCATCCTTCTTGCACAAAACACAAAAGGCACGCACCTGAGTGCTGAGGCTGGGAGAAACACTCACCTGGGCAGCCAGATTCACCACATTTCCCTTCCACCCTAAGGAGAAGTGACATTTGAATTGGGTTAAAGGATAACGGGTTTGGAGTTGGGCAGCTGGATTAGGAAATATCAATCCAGTTGAGGCAGAGGAGCAGGAGAGTATAAGTCATGAGGGCGAGCCTTCATGCTGGGATTAGTGCCCTTCTAAGAAGAGACACTGGAGAACTGGCTCTCATTCTTTCAGCCGTGTGAGGACACAGCAAGAAGGTGGCCATCTGCAAGCCAAGAAGAGAGCCTTCAATAGAGCCAAATGATGCTGGCACCTTGATCTTGGACTTCTAGACTTCAGAATGGTTAGAACTAAATTTTTATTGTTTAAGCCAACCAGTCTGTGGTCTATTGTATGGCAGCCTAAGCTGAATAACACATTTTTTACAAGCTGCAGATCCACACTTTCAATTGCCTGATGGACTTCTCTGCCTGAACATTCTACTCCAAGGCAAACTCAGTGTGTTTAAGGCTCAACTTGTTATTTTTCTTCTGAGTTCAGCTTTTGCTTCTGTGCTTCACATATGTGTTATTGCACCAGCATGTACTTTTGCTCATCCTTGACTTTTTATCAATTCCTTGGTAAATACTTTTGATTCTACCTCTGAGATGCTCCTCCTTCCATCTCTACCTTTCATTCTCAGTTTCTGTCTTATTTCAAGTTCCACCTCTCACTTCATCTTCCTGCTTCTACTCCTTTCAAGTCAAGTCCTCTTAGAGAATGATATGGTTTGGATTTGTGTACCCATTCAAACCTCATGTTGAATTATAATCACCAGTGTTGGTGTTGAGGCCTGGCAGGAGGCAATTGCATCATGGGGGCAGATTTCTCCCTTTGGTGCTGTTCTTGTGATAGAGTTCCAAGGAGATCTGGTTGTTTAAAAGTGTGTGGCACCTCTCCCCTTGGTGAGAGCTTGTCCCCACCTTGGTCATGCTCCTGCTTTGCCTTCTGCCATGGGTAAAAAGCTCCCTGAGACCTCCCCTCTGTGCTGGGGCATTGCCTGGTAGAGCTGTGAGAAGAGGACCACCATCCTCCAGATCTCAGAATGTTAGATCCATCTACAGCTTGTACCATGTGCCTGAAAAAGCTGCAGGCACTCAAAAGAGCCACGGGGTGGAGTTGCCGAAGGCCTTGGAGGCCCACTCTTTGCATCAGCATGCCCTGAATGTGAGACATGGAGTTAAAAAAAAATATTTTGGAGCTTTAAGATTTAATAACTGCCTTGCTGGGTTTTGGACTTGCATGGAACCTGGAACCCCTTTGTTTTAGCCAAAGGGCTATTCCGTATGGAATGGGAGCATTCACCCAATGCCTGCACCCCCCATTGTATCTTGGAAGCAACTAACTTGTTTTTGATTTTACAGGCTTATAGGCAGAAGGGACTTGCCTTGTCTCAGATGAGACTTTGGACTTGGACTTTTGAGTTGATGTTGGAATCAGTTCAGACTTTGAGGGACAGTTGGGAAGGCATGACTGAGTTTTGAAATGTGAGAAGAACATGAGATTTGGGAGGGACCAGTGTGGAATGACGTGGTTTGATTCTGTGTTCTCGCCCAACTCTCATGTTAAATTGTAATCCCCAATGTTGGGAGAGGGACTTGGTTGGAGACGATTGGATCACGGGGACAGATTTTTTTCCTTTGGTGCTGTTCCTGTGATGCAGTTCTCAGGAGATCTGGTTGTTTAAAAGTGTGTGGCACCTCCCCCAGCCTCCTTAGTCCTACTCCTGCCATGTAAAATGCCTGCATCTATTTTGCCTTCTGCTATAGGTAAAAGCTCCCCGAGGCCTCCCCAGCCATGCTTCCTGTAGAGCCTACAGAACTGTGAGCCAATTAAATCTCTTTTTATAATTACCCAGGCTCAGTATTTCTTTATAGCAGTGTGAGAACAGACTAATACAATGATGAGGCACTGAAGTCTAATCCGATTACATTTTTGCTTTCATATGACCAGAGAATAAATTCCATACACTCATTTGGTTTTCAAGGAACTCTATGACCTAGTATAAATATATTTTTCTCAGTTTATTCTAATAACTTCCCTCTGTGCATTCTGTTCTTGCTAAATAATCAACTAAGTACTGTTTCCTTTTAACTTTCCTGCTCTTCTGCCTTACCTGGATTGGTATTTCCATTGCCCAGCTACCCAACTCCAAACCTGCTATCCTTTAACTCAATTCAAATGACCTTCTTAGGGTGGAAGGGGAATGTGGTGAATCTGGCTGCCCAGGTGAGTATTTCCCCCAGCCTCAGCACTCAGGTGCATGCCTTTTGTGTTTTGTGCAAGAAGGATGGCCTTTGCAGATAAGGGAAGGCACTTGTCTAGCTAGACCCAGGGATGCCCTCACTGCTAGACTGCCTTGGTTACAGCTTCCAGATTTCTTGATGATGAATTCTTGTTCGCCTGGGGCTATGAGAATCAGGCTCATTCCAGTCCACCTGTGTCACAGTCATTGTTGACTATCTCATCTCTTCCCTTATGAGCCAAAGTTCTTGGCCAACAGGGTTCATGCTTGGTTTGGCTCTGGGCTTTTTAAGGAGCCAGTATGTTGCCCCACTCAACAAACATTTTTGAATAAATGAGTGAATTTATGAAAATATACAATGTATACATATCAGACAAGTCCATTTTTACATATGAAGAAAACTGGAATTGGTGATGTTGAGGTTTTTTTTTAAATTAAGTAGCCACAAAACTTCAAACAAAGTTGGATATTAAAGTAAAAGATGAGAAAGTCAGAGATGATCAATACATTACCACATCTGACTTGGTGGTAAACTTTTGAGTTTGTAGACTTTCCAAAGCCATCCACTTCACTGGCAGCTTTGCACCTGTTTTGTTGTGTACACTATAGTATTCTTTATCATACATATCTCTGGCAAGACCAAAATCAGCAACCTTGACAGTGAATTTTTCATCCAGCCTATAGAAAGGACAAAAATTATTACCAGTGGCTGAAACAGAATAATTTACAATGATGCTGAATATCTACAGGTTAAACAAGTGGCTTCAGTATTTGAAATCCATAACTTCCGAAGGAAGTACTTCATCTAGCCTCATTGACTAACACCAACTTAACAACAGAATTCTTGAATAAAAATGCTTGACATTGACATTGCCAATTTAACAGGCTGAGGAAAGAGATCATGAATTGTATGGCGTAAGAAAGTCCTTTTTGCTTTAACGTAGATCTGCAGTAGTAAGGCTGCCTCTCCTAGGGGTTTTCTTTGGTTGACTAAATAGAGTATGCCAATTGACTCCCCAAGAAATCACCAATCTTCACTTGTCAACTTATTAGCAATACTCAGTTTTATGGAAGAGCATGACAGGGGACTGATACTTTACTTTTTCATTCTTAAATGAGGTAGGTTAGCACATAAAACTCATATATCCCACCGCTGAGGTAATAGAGAACTAAGATACACAGTAAAGGATCTGAGAAAAACAGCAAAATTCACAAAAATCAATTTCCGTTATCTGGGGCTACGCACACTCTGTTTAAGCTGGCTTTTATGTTGTTACATTGACCAAAACCAAGGTAGGAAATTAATAGCACAGCTCTTTCTTTCACACATACCGTAAGTCACGAATGATTGCTATGCAAGGGAAAGGATGAACTCAATTACAAACTGTTGACTGTTGTGTTATACAGCCAGGCAGCCAGACACAAATAAAGTTCTTTGTATATGCATTCTCAAATACCATTTTTGGTAGGGCTTCTGCAAGCTGGCTTCAAATCCACTCTTGGGAAGTTGCAATATGTTGGTATTTGTGTTCCCAGCCCTCTCCTTTTCACTGTCAAATGCTGAAGATCAAATTCTCCCTCCCCAACACTAATGCAGTGTGAAACCACAACATTAAGAGCTACTGGAGGGAAGGACTGAGAAAAGCAAAAGTACACAACAGCTGTGTAAGACCCCCTATGGAGAATCCTTTTAAATTCTCTGTTGGATAAAGTCTGAAAGTCCCACCCACATCCCCAGGGCTTACACATCCATTTAAAATTATAACAGAAATAAAGGACTTCTGCATAAGAAGAGAAAACAGCCTAACTAGCATTGAACAGTGGGGAACAGATTCCTCCTTGTCACTTAATTTGGACTGTGGTCGCAGAGATTCTAATACTTACATACAGTTTCTTGCAGCCAAGTCTCTGTGGACAAACTTTTTGCTTGCAAGATATTTCATGCCTTTGGCTACTTGAAGACCAAAGCCAATAAGATCTTTTACAGTTGGATTCTGCAATCAAAGAAAGTTGGAAAAGCATAAACTAAGCATCTACTCTTCTGATTTTGATCTTAGAATTCTGAAATGTTTATTTATAAAAAATTATCTTGTCTCAAAAATTAGTTTGGGCTTGGTGGCTCAAGCTTATAATCCCAGAACTTTGGGAGGCCAAGGTGAGGGGATGGCTTGAGGCCAGGAGTTTGAGATCAGCCTGGGCAATACAGTGAGAGCCTGTCTTTTTACTTCCATCCACTGCCCACAAAACGAGCTTGGTGTGGTGGTGTGCACTTGTAGTCCCAGTTGCTTAGTAGTCTGAGGAGGGAGGATCACTCGAGCCCAGGACTTGGATACTTCAAGTGCACTATGACTGTGCCAAGGCACTCCAGTCTGGGTGACAGAGACCTTGTCTCCAAAAACAAAACATCAACAAAAATTGTGCCCCATTGATAGATCAACCATTTGTTAAGTACTTATTGTATGCAAAACACCAGGCTCGTTATTTTTATAAATTATGGCTACTTCTACACTTCTGTCAGGCAGGTGTTACAGGCTCCATTTTCCAGATGGGGAAATAGAGGCGTTTTTAAAATGTCGTTTTATTATTTTCCAGGTCTGAGGAGGCCCACAGAACAGGAAACAATTGCCATTGAAAAGATAGTTTGCTGCTCACAGTTTGCAAGAGGAGGGGGCACAAACTGTTATGCAGGGTCACGTGGGGGAAGCCCTGGGGTCTGGAGGCCGAGGGAGTGAGGAGAAAAACAGGAGGAGAGGCTTCATTGCAGTTTCCCTTGGAAGGAACTGGATAGGCAGGGTAAGCAGGTTTGGAACTAGCCAATTTGGAGTATTTCAGCAGGCTCCAGGGATGTTTCCAGTAGTCTGGAACTGGGCCCTTGGGGTGATTAGGGAGGGTGGATAGTGACCCAAAGTGTAAGAGCTTGATAAAGGAGGTTAAGTAAGTGCTCTGGATTGCACATGATGGGTATGTTTTGAAGGCAAGTTGTTTACTATTTGTAGGAATAAGCTAGCCTTGGGAGGGACAGTCCTTCCAGGGTCAGCAAGGCACAAGGTGTCAGAACATTAGAAACCCACTGTGAATAGAGGTGGCTCAGAAAGGAATCACCCCAAACCACTCAGATGTCAAGTCTGGTGATGTCACTGGCTGGCAATCAGGAATGGGGTATTCCATCTTCAACATTCCCTGAGGAGTTTGTCAGTGCAAGATGTAGTCAGTGCGGTCCCTACAAGAAGAACTTTGGCCCCTCAATGCACACAGTACAGAGAAAGGCCGGTTCCTGGCTTTAGGTTTCTCTTTAAGATGTATCTGGATTTGTGGTTGTCCTCAGTATCAACACCTTGAGTTAAAAAATCCAATCCGGCACTACTCTGTTCCGGATAACAAGAAGTCGCTATCATGCTTTAGCCCTGGGGTAATACAACCCTGGAGAAGGTAGCATCTCCAGCCACATTAATGCATCAGGGTAATAAGAAAAGTTGAAGCGGGTCAGGGCGGCTGTGTGCTTTGTAAGGTCAATTCACCTTACGTGAAAAAACTCACTGCTAAGGAATGCTTTATTCTTTGGGCTGAATAATATCTTTACTCTTCTAGAGCTTATTTTCTCTGAGAATTTGACCTCATATTTATAAAGCTGTTTTTGATCAAGGTAAGGCTACTTCATTAACTCCCACAGATACCTGGACAGCCGGAACCGAGATGGAGCCTGAAGCCATCTATGAATTCAGTCTTGAGATTCTTCCTCCCACCCTCCCTGGTTCTGGCCTGGAGACTTTTAGGTCCTGGCATAAATGTCACAAAAAGAACCTACCACTTGCAAGAGGCTAAGAAACTTTTTGTAACCGTTAGCTGATTCATTCAAAAATTATTTACTCAGAGTCTATGTGCTAAACACTGTTTTAGGTGTTTTAGCCACAGCAGTGAACGAAATACACAAAAATCCTACCCTCATGAGCTTCCATTCTAATGGAATGAGGGTATGTGTACATATATATGCACACATACACATATACATAGTTATTATTTTTGTTTATTCTCTACTACAGTGCTATACAATAGAAATAGAAAGCAAGTCACACATATAATTTAAAATTTTCTGGTAGCCATATTAAAAAGTAAAAAGAAACAGGTAAAATCAATTTTCACAATATATTTTTCAACCCCAAACATCCAAAATATTTCAGCATGTAATCAATAGAAACAACTACTAGTGAGATATTTCACCTTCTTTTTTTATACTAAATATTGAGAATCTGGGATGTATTCTGCACCACACAGCACATTTCAGTTCGAAGTAGCCTCCTTTTACATGTGGCTCATGGCCATAGTATTGGCCAGCTCAGGCCTCGTGTGTCAGATGATGATAAGTGTGATGGGAGAAAATGGAGCAGGGAAGAGGAGTCTGAAGCCATTCAATGTGGTCAGTTGCAATTTTAAACAGTTCAGGGAAGCCTTATGCTGAAGACGACATTATGGCCCAGAGCTGAAGAGGATGATAAAGTGAGATATGTGGCTATTTAGGGGGAGAGTGTTCTAGGCAGAGGGAGTGCAAGTGCAAAGGTCCTGAGGTATGAGAGTGGATGGCAAGGATGAAGAACAACAAGGGATGCATCTGCAGCTAATTCTTCAATGCCTTCTAGAGTTAACATTCCATATGGGCCAAGGCTTTCTCTGCTTCTACTTCTCCTGTGTTGTGCACAGTTTCTGGCATATAGTAGACACTCAAAGATGACTAAATGTCCCTATCGGGGAAAGGTACACCAACGTTGATCGCAGAGCAAATTGGAATCATCATTACCGGAAACCCTTCCAGGTGTCACTATTTCCCACCAGGATAGAAGATTTTGAGGTACATTGGAATGGTGCCAACATTTTAAATGTGCACCTTTGGCTACTAGCTTTTTAAGAACTCAGAGCAGGCCTATTTTGAAGGCATGCCTGCCTTACAGCCAGTTTTCCAGTTAGTAAGTTTGGCAGTAAACTTACATGAGTCTCATTTCGAATGAAATTTCGAAGATCTCCATGTTTCATGTATGGTAGGACCACCAGCGGAGACCCTTCACTTCGCAGGCAGATTCCCAGGAGCGAGAGGACATTGGGATGGCTAAAATCTTTCATGATGATTCCCTCGGTCAGAAACTGGGAAACTTCTCCTATGTCCGTGATTCCTAAGAAATCCAGTGGTGGAGACATTAACTTCATTATGGAGCAGTAAATACTTTGTCAAATTTCGATTGGAAGCACAATGAAAGGGAAAAAAATATACAGTTAACATCTTGTCCTGAGGCTTCAACCCCAGAGTGTTCTTTTTACAGCACATCTGAGGAAATGATGACACCCTGCACTATGCCTTCCAGTCACCACTGACACACACTTTTGCAAGATAGAGTCCAGCCAGCCACCAGGTTCTCTCCTATAAACTTAGTACAAAGTTTGTACGTAGGTTTCATAAAGACTGTCCCTTGATTTCCCTCGTGGTCATACTTCCAACAAAATTAACCATGTAGAACAACGCTTAGCATGTCGATTTATATTTTAAAAAGACTGAAGTAGTTGTGGCAATAAAGTATCTTGCAGGAAAACCTTTCATTTGTTCACTTAAAGCTTATTAATTCCCATATAAGTTTGTAGTAATGCTGGTTAACATTTTTCAGGCTGCTGCAATTTGCAAGCAGAAAATGAGAAATGGGAGTAGAAAATGCAAGCATGTGAGACCTGTCAACAAAGGCAGAGCCAGGAACACTATGTATGCGGAGTACACTGTTTGTGTAGCATAGTAATTTATGGCTATAATTATGGCTTGGGGTCACTAGTAAAGGCTTAGTTTGTATTTGGAAGCATTCCCTTAAACAGAGTATGCATTTCATCTTTGAAGGATTTTCTCAATAACAACTACAATTTGAAGTAATGTTTCAGCATTAAAAAGGGGTAAGTTTCACTTATTTAGGAAGTTCATATATGTGGAATGCCTCATTCTCCAAAAATGTGGATAAATGAGGTATTACCGTACTTATGATTTTTCAATTTTCTGCCAGTGTAGTTTTCTCCTGTTTGTCTTATTTCATTTTTTTATCTTTTAAATGGAAAGTGTAGTTAAAAATTAATTATAGTAATGCCTCTGGGTAAAATGAGTCATTACTATTGTATGTGCCAACATGCTTCCAATAGTTTCCATAACTGTCACTTGCAAAACAAATATTATAAGCCAAACATAGTTATAGTTAAATGATACTCAGTTCATCCAAAAACCTCATTTCTCCTACCTGCTTACTTATGAGAGCTCTGAGGGATCATTTCAGAGGAAATAGTTCAATGAAAGTTTAGAGCAAAACAAATTTTCAGAATTAGGCCCATAATTTCAGTGGTAGCTGATTTTTCCACAAGGGGAAAGTGTAAATCAACGTTTTATTATAAGCAATTTATTAGGTTGCAAACCACAAAAGCATACTCCACGGTTAAATAAAATGCCACTTACTGTTCAAGGATTTCACAGCACAGTGAATTTTCTTGCCATCATTGTCCAACAAAGTCCCATGATACACACAACCAAAATGCCCTGTGCAAAAGAAGGAACTTGGTTAGTACTGCCTAACATTTAATTATGAAATAATTACCTATCAAGCCCTTCATGAGCTTCGTTTTCTTCCTTCTTTCTATACAGCAAAAGATTACATTAAAAAAAACCCTTTTGATTAACTATACCACTGTAGGTGTGTATGTGTGTTTGTAAATATACATATAGATGCAACACATTTCACCCAAGGATATAAGCAATGTGAAGGTTTAATTCATGAATATGTTGTAGGTGATATGACTCATATTAAAGGCTAATCTAATAAAATATTCAACCATAGTGGAACCACTGAAAAGGTGAGTAATATCTGCCTCATCAAATAAATTTATTACTTTTAAGGATTACATGGTATTTTAAAATATGAAAATAAAGTTTACCTACATGAAGAACTATAATAAGTCCCCTATATTCTAATAAACTGAAAAAAATAAAAATGCTACCATTAAAAATAAGATTAGTATTATAGAATAAGGATTTCCCCATTAGTCACTGGTTAATAAGTAATCCAGAAGAAACTGAAAGGCAGTTGCCCAAATGAAGCAAATTCACCCTGACTCACTTCATCCAGTTCTCTTTGGCTTTAACTACATCATTTCCCCAATGGTAGCCTTTTATCCAGTGGCAGTAATTTTCCCCAGAGGTGCCAAATGTCTGATAGCTGTGTAAGTCATTTGCTAATTAATTCATCCAGCTGGCCAAGACACCATGAGTGCCTAGTATATGGGTGTCAGGCATTAAGCTACCCTCTAGTAATGCAAAAAAGAATAAAATAAAACCTGTGCTCTTGAGTACTCCTATTCTCCTGGAGAAAACCATATAAATACATAGTAGCTAATATTTATAGAGCTGTTAATGATTATAACTTCGAAAAAGAAAGAATTGCCATTGTAGCACCTTTCATGACAAAAAAAATTTCTAGTTTTCCAATGTGTAGAGTTAGAAGTTAGAACACAATTAGTGAGTTCACACACTCTAAAATTGGTGCAATTACTGGGATTTATAGGCTATGACAGAACTCTATATTACTCTGATGAGAAATGGAAACATGTTTGTTAACAGTGAAGCCACTCCTGGGGAAGAAGGAGCACACGAAGAATTATGCTCTGAGGTGTTTGACAGAAGAATATGTGGATGCTACCACAGGGGTGAGAAGGCCTCATGTTCATATAAGGCAAATCACACCATCAGCGTCTCTTGTGTCACACTGGCAGATGCCTGTACAGCCTCTTGCAGCACATATACAATAAAAGGGATCAGAGGCCATTTAGTATTAAGGGTAAAAGCTTTTTAGAAAAAAAAAAAAAAACAAAAACACAAAGAGTGGAGTTCATTTCCTGGTTTCTGATTGGTTTCTTTTTCTGCTAAATATTTCCACAAATACTGTTTATGCTAGCTGTTATTGCTGCTCTGGCTGGCTTATTACAAACATTCACTTATCTTTGTATAAAGAAATTGGAGTGCATTGTAGAGATGATATATGTTGCTTTAGATTGGGGGAATGCTATAAATTCCCTGTCTTCTGATGCTGTCCAGCAGCATACAAACTGCTATAAACCAGGCTTCAAAGAGTTTGTCACTATTCTCAGGGTAAAGAAAGACTGGAGAGAGATTGAGTAAAAATACTTAAAATTAAAAGAATGATTTTTTAATATTTATTTGATTTATTTATTTATTTAGGTTTTTTTTTTGATACAGAGTCTCGCTTTGTTGCCCAGGCTAGAGAGCTGTGGCACAATCTCATTTCACTGCAACCTCTGCTTCCCAGGTTCAAGCAATTCTCTTTGCCTCAGCCTCCCTAGCAGCTGAGATTAAAGGCAGCCACCACCAAGCCCGACTAATTTTTGTATTTTTTTTTTTTTTTTTTGAGACGGAGTTTCGCTCTTGTTGCCCAGGCTGGAGTGCAATGGCGCGATCTCGGCTCACCGCAACCTCCGCCTCCTGGGTTCAGGCAATTCTCCTGCCTCAGCCTCCTGAGTAGCTGGGATTACAGGCACACGCCACCATGCCCAGCTAATTTTTAGTATTTTTAGTAGAGACGGGGTTTCACCATGTTGACCAGGATGGTCTTGATCTCTTGACCTTGTGATCCACCCGCCTCGGCCTCCCAAAGTGCTGGGATTACAGGCTTGAGCCACCGCGCCCGGCCTAATTTTTGTATTTTTTAAGAGAGACGGTGTTTCGGCATGTTGGCCATGCTGGTCTTGAATTGACCTCAGGTGATTCACCAGCCTCAGCCTCCCAAAGTGCTGGGATTACAGACGTGAGCCCCTGCGCCTGGCCCTGATTTTTGAAAGAAAGGAAATGGCAACTTCCAAGAAACTATAGTTGCTAGTATGCACAGGATGAGGATGAATTGTAATTTAGGTCTAATATGTTTGGGGGGTTATCCAATTGCTTCCATGCACAGGGGCAAATCCCCATGGATATGATTTACAAGGCTGCATTTCTGTAAAACAGAAATCAAGTACACTTGTTATCATTGCTGTCAGTTGCTTTCACCATTGTCTAAGTTCCTAATCTGCAAAGGCCAAAGATAAAATGCTTACTGGAAAATCGTATTTAACAAAAAGCTGAGTGGAAATACTTACCTCTTCCTATGACTTCATTGAAATGCACAATCAGGCTACTGGGCCCAATCACTACATGCTGCACTGCCTGGACCAGCTCTGGATTTAGAGCACTGAGGTCAATGTGGACAGTATTTTGCAGTAATGGACTGGATATATCAGAGTCCCCACTAGTCAGGATGGGGGACATGTCTGTCAGAGGATACTGCACTTGTCGGCATGAACCATTCTGAGATGAGTTGGGAAACTGATCTGTAAGATGAAGTAAAATTATTAAAGAACAACAGTAAAACCTCATTTAATGGAGACTGCAACAGGAATAGCCTTTATAAGAGAATTAGTTTGATAACAATGATAATAAATTGGGAAAAGATACTGCATTATATATACAAGCATTTCATAAAATGTTGGCAGATTTTCATTTAAGTAGACTAAGTATTAACTTTGAAAGCTTTCTATCCTCATTTCCTTAGACATTTCTGTTTTTATCAATAGTAAAAAGCCATGCTTACGGTTTATTTTTGGATATACTATGTCCTTAAGAATAGAAAGCAGCAAAGGTAGTTGAGCAATTGCCTGGTCTCACAAAAATCCAGCTCAAATATAAGAAAATGAAAAAGATGCCTTTTGAGAGACTACTGTTTATTAATGGAATTAATTACTATTGTGCAAAATTTATGGATTCCTGGCAAATGGAAAAATACACATATGATTAGAAATAAATAATGGCTATATTCCCAGAACTGAAAGTTTTTCACATTAGTGGAAAATTCTCACTGTGCAGTGATAGCACTGGATTTAGTGTCACTGCTGTTTAGAGAAGGCAGGTTAGATCTCGGTTAGTGGACCATCCTCATTGTTTAGTTAAGGGCTCTATGAAAGGGGTAAGCATTCCTTGTACATTGATCTTTATAACCAAAGCTCTGTAAGCACCTCAGCCAAAGTTCCCTTTTGCAAGGAGAAACATTTTTCATTTCAGAGGGAAGAAATTGTGCTGATAGTCAATTTCTCGATGCCAAAAAGGGCAAAGAAGCCATCTTTTCCACTTTTCCTTTCTCTTTCCACTGGGAATTCATACATATCAAGGAGGGGACATTATAGCCACAGCAACTGACATGAAGATGAACTAGTCATAGCATTGAAATGTAGTAGTATGTAACATAGGGAGAGGGTTGTGTGGGGGTTCCCTATTGGCACCAAAAGATATCGTTTGTCTGATTCAGAATCAGAATCTGAGAGAAGGGCATAAAAAGAATGCTGTTAGTACCTTGACTATTCCTAACCCAATTTAAGCATTTTTAGTATTTTCCACAGTGGACAGGTTGATTAATAGTAAATGAACTTGGACAAAAGTGGTTCCAGAAAAGCTTTGGGCATCAACGACAGTTATAATAGATACTAGCGAGAAACAAGATAGGTGCAACCTTCAAAGAAGGATGTGGAACATCAGGGAAGTACCTGAAATGTTGGGTGGGTGAGGAAGGAAGGAGCCTAGCTGAGTACTTGCTCCTTTAATTCCAAGGAGTCAGGGTCTCCAAACCTTCCCCAGGGGACTGGAAATGCCAATGAGCCTCTCTAAACTCAGTTCTTTCATCCTCACTTCCCAAGCCTTTGCATCTGGAGATCAGGGCTCTAAATGCTTAATGGTGCAGAGACTGAGGGAAATCCTTGGTGAGATGCAGATAAAAGTCCTTAGGCATGAAAATTCTCTTGACTCTTCTGCTAAATTCAAACATGTGCAGAAACCAATAGAAACCATCAATGTGCAACCCTGGTGTCACACCACATAGAACTCTAGGTCTCCATGAAAAAGACTGATGAGAATGCTGTCCCCACCAGATGTAGAGAGGAAAGCTCTGCAGTTGCCTCTTCACTAGGCTTTGGCTGTGCACCTATTATCTCATTCTCTCTAGATACCCTCTTTTACCTATTTCATCTTTTCATGTCTGCAAGGAGCAGGCTCAATGGGGAAGAGTGTGAAACTCAACCTTCTTAGCAATGATGATAGAGCATGAGTAAGGTGGTTCAAAGAAGATTAGGTAAGTTTTTTTTTTTTTTTCCAAAGAAAATCTGTAAATGTTAATGATCTCAGATTAGAGCTATAAAATGTGCATACACAATACTAAATATATCTAAATTTCAAAACAATAAACTAGGTTTGATTTCTCCACATGGTTAATGGAATGGATTTTTAAAGGTGAATGGAGTCAGGTGTGCAAAGACAATGTTTACTATATGTATCTCCATAGAAATAACATAAACTCCAAAACATAAGAGGTAATAAGTGTTGAAAATGTAAAAATGTTTAGTGCTTCATTGCTCTTGAACTTGTTTGGATGAGCAACTTCTAACTTTTCCAGTATCCTTCATGATCTGTGACTCATTTTATTTGTCCAATGGTAAATATTCCATCAAGGAAATGCTTGTACTTGACTCACATCCTGTAACTCTTAAAGATAATGGGGTTGATACAATACAGACATTTTGCTTTTACCAGGAGATTTAAATAAAACAACAAGAAAAGCGCTGGTTAACCTGAACATTACTAGGCCTAGTGTTTTACAATGCTGATGATATTGACCCCTCCCTTTTTTCATAGCATAATTGAAGGTTTTCCTTGGCTAAGTCTCAAAATACATTCAAGTCCTAGAATATTGTGGGAAAAAGGCTGTGTACTAACAGTTCATTGAGAACACTTCAAAGGATTACTAACAGTACAATTTCAATGTCTGGGCTCCAACAGGTAAAAAATGTAGTAGTTCCAACTTACATTTAAATACATATATGTTTTGTAACTTAACTCTTCCTGGATTGTAAAAGAGACCTTCACAATTTCTTACCATTGCACTTAGATGATAAACAAATTGAAATCATTTACTCAAATGATTTCAGAATTAACCTTTTTGTGAGAAGAGAGCTAATGGACTCTAAAATCATAATGTAATACATACATGGGTTCATTTAAAAATAAGAGCCATGTAATTCTGTGTCAAATACTTATTTGGTAGTGGTAAATACTTCTTTAATGTCTTTATAAAAATATAAATGCAAAACAAAAAAATAAACAACGTCACAATCCAATGAGGTATATGTATAGGTATTTCTCAGAACAATAAACTGAAATATACCTTCTGGAAAAGTAGCTCGGTAGTCTACAGATTCATTTGAAACCATTTCTGTAGTTGGGCTTACACTTCGGGCACTTACAAGCCTATCCAAATGAGGAGTGTGTACTCTTGCATCATAGCGAACTAATTCACTGCCCAGATCTTAAAACAGAGAGAAAGAAAGAGCTTGTTAAAGATGGCTATCATGGGTCCCAGGAGACCTTGACCCAGTGCCCAGAACTGATGGGTTTTATGGACTACATATAAGACAGCACACACAAATCTATGACAATCTTAAACTGTAATGACTGTATTCTTAAAGTAACTTCTAAAAATGAACAGTAACAAAAATGCACCTTTAATTTGCTTTCTTTTTTTCAGCCACAGGAAAAGCCCAAGTAGTAATAAGAGCGCTATTGAGATTGAGACAACACCAGCAATCAATCCTGTGAAATTCTGATCTGGTTGAACTATTACTTTTCCAAGAACGGTTGAAGAAATTGCTTGCTTCCACTAAAAATGACAAATAAAGAAAAGTCAGCATTTAGCCATGATAGATGTTTGTACCACACAGGTTGTAGCACAATCTCTCTGGGCCCAAAATACTACCTGGTTATTGCCACTCTACAAATGGCGTAACTGCCTTCAGGATAGTAAGAGATTCCTCAGTTTTGCTCCAGTGTTGAAATAAGTAGGGGACACTGATTCCTGAAGTACTTACATGGTACTTAGCTGTTTGTATTTGTAACTAGGTATTACGGATAAAAAGAGCTACAAAAAGCAGGAACTGAAGTGTAGAACAGGAAACAGACATGTAAATAAATGATAACAGAAAAGTGTGGTATGTACCATAGAAGTATGACTAAATAGTAATCAACAGAGACGATGGGACATTAATTCTGTCCTGGATGGTGTGGTGAAGGGCAGAGAAGACTTCCTGTAAGAGGTAAATAATTATACTGTTATGATGGAACAATAAAGTCTCAGAATACTTTTCCTTCAGTTTTAATATACAGCAGAAATCTCTGAAGTCCCTTCTGGCTCTAACATTTTATGATTTTTAGGATTAATGGTCCTTCTGAAATTCCAACTCTGATCTTATGATTCAGCATTAGATTTTCTAATTTTTGTATGTTTTTCCATCTCATAACTTTTCAGAAGACTTCAGGAACCCTTCAAAAATCACAAAATTATGCTTGGATAAATGTGGGATATGTATACAACTGAATATTATTCATCCACAAGAAGGAATGAAGTACCAACACATGCTACAACAGGGATGAACCTGGAATATATTAAGTAAAATAAGCCACACACGAAAAGACAAATATTGTAGGATTCCACTCACATGAAATATCTAGAATAGGCAAATTCTAGAGATAGAAAGTAGATTAGAAGTTATCAGGAGCTGGAGGAGAGAAGGGTATGTGGAATTGCTGCTTATTGGTTATAGAGTGTCTGTTTGGGGTGATGAAAAAGTTCTGGAATTAGATAATGCTGATGATTACACAACACTGAATGAAATCAATGCAACTGAATTGTACATTCAAAAATGGTTAAAATGGCAAACATTACATTACATATATTTTACCATAAGTCAAAGAAATTAACAATATAATATACCAAAACCCATTGAATTGTACACTTTCAATGGGTGAATTACATGGTATGTGAATTATATCACAATGAAACTATTAAAAAAAGAATGAAAAAAGATCACTAACTTTGGTTCTAAGTTGTTTGATTCAGCTATCTACACAAAAGAAGTTGCTGTAAAGTAGTTTAATACCCATTTTACTTTGTTTGGTACAGGCATCTTCCTTTATTTATGGGAATCTATGAATTAGTGATCACTGTGGTTGGCAGCGGAACACCAGCTCTGGCCTTCTGGGGTGGTGGGAGGCAGCAGAAGGACACTCTTGGATGCGTGCTTATTTCTTCTGAGAATTACAGCAATTTTGGGAAGAGTGCGGGATGATGGAGAAGCAGTGTGGGTAGAAGGAACTTTTGAGATCTACCTCCCAAGCTTGGGGAAGGAGACAATGTGAACTATATCTAAAATAACAACTAGGAATGGAGGCTGAGTTGATGAGCCAAAACCCACACATAAATGAGCTTTAATGATTTATTTTAAGCCTGAGAATGACACAGTTACACTGGCTTCCTTATTTACATCATGAAAGGAATGCAGGAATCCCACCTCTATATTTAGCTCGCTGTTCAATTTCAGCAGGTCACTGGGGACTGTGCATAAAACGGCTTCGGAATGTAAGTGTATATTCTCACAGCTCTTATTTCCAACTTTTAACACTTCACCTTTAACTGCTTCAGGGTCAATATCATTTCCCTGGAAGGAAAAAAAAAAGGTTGTTAACACTTCACAGTTTTGCAGGAATGCTAACAATGGCAAAGGAATATAAATATACTGCAAACACAGGCCACGTTGTTTGCCAAGGTACATGATTCTATGATACTAATTTTCAAGGGAAATTGGGATGGCTAATGGGGAGCGTGACCATTTCAGAATATATTTTAGGAATTACGGCATATAGCTTTTGCATCAAATTGGACCTTAGAGAAAAGAAAAGAGGTTCTTGCTTCACATCCTTAAATGCAGAATGATGTCTTACCTATCATTACCTCACTATTGTCTTCAGGGGGTATTGATGTTTGGCAAAAAAGACGCAATTTAGAGATTCAGTTACTGTACCACCTAACACTGACTAATGCAGAGATTCTCAACCTTGACTTTGCTTTTGGAATCACAGTGAGAACTTTAAAAAATACTGATGCCTGGGTCTCATCTCCAGAGAGCTGATGTTAAATAATTGTTAATATATTAATACTGTATTATGTTATGTTAATATTAATATATTACTTTTTTGTTTGAGTTGGGTAGTTTACTTTCATCCTGCTTGCACACTTGAATCCTATACATAAGTGAATTCATTTTTAAAGAAATTCATGTGAGACGTTATATGACCTTCATTATAATTTGAGAGCACAATTATATTATTTTGAACAATTACATAGCTATACAAACATTTTCAAAAAATTAGTTAATTTGACATATTTAGTTAACTGAAGTTACCATCAGGCATTTTAAAAACATCAACATTTTGTTTGAGAAACCAATAATTAGTCTTGTAAAAGAAGTGCAAGCATAGGTATAATTTCTCATATCAAGACAATGAGTACAGTTATTCATTGAGCAAGCTATTATTTTGAGGTGGCATATATCAAAACATATTACTATTTTTCTTATGGACAAAGAGCAGCAAGTAATAGCTACAATGCTGCTACTTTGTTTTATGTAATCTTTAATACTTGACAAACTCCATTCATATATATTGTCTCACATGGATCTGAATAGATTGATTAGTCAGGCAGTTATTATTCTGGGAAAAGAAGCTGAAAGAAAATACTTCTTTATAACCTGATGTAGTTTCAGAAAAAATGGATATAGACAGATCCTATCCTTATACTTCTAGAAGCAGTATGTGTAATCCATTGAACCAGGTCAGCCACACAGGACAACACAATACAGAAGCACATCCATCTAAGAGATCACTTTAGGGCTTCAAACAACAACTTGCTAGTTAGGTCTGAAGAGGGACAAAGCCCTTATCCACATATTGGAGGGAATTTAGGAAATGACAAAGAAAATAAGAGATTAAAGAGCTGGAGGGTTTGATTTATGAGAAATGGTCAAATGTGTCTTGCTTGCTTAGATCATGACTAAGGTTGGGGGAAGGGATGAACATACAACATTTGCATTTCCAATACTTATTGTTTCAGGCTGAATCTCCTTGAATGTTGCATAAAGGCTTCTCTAAAACAAAAACAGACCACACATCCACCAATTCTCATTTTATATGTGTATATCAAAGGACACATGGTAAGTAGTGACTTACATAAGCAACTACTATGTTATACATATGTGTATATATATATATATGTAATTGTTTTAGAAGCCTAAATCCTATATATTACAAAAGTGATACTGGTAACTCACTTCTATATAACACTGGGGCCTAGATAAGGAAAAATTTAAAAAGGCATAGGCTAATTTTTGTCATTTAAAATAAAACAAACATAGCTTTATTGAGATGTTAAAAAACATATGTTTAGAACTTTTACTATTGATTTTATTAATATTTATTACTGAATTTTAACTATTATTAAATAAAAGTCATTCAACTGTTTCAGGGTGATTTCAGTCACTAAAATGGTAATGTGGATTTAAAAATAAAGCAACAAGAGAGAGAACTTTCTGATCTTTAATCTCCAATGGACATAGAGCAATTTAGTTATAATCATCTCATACTATCCTGCAAAGACACTCTCCCTGAGGTATGTATTATTGTCATTTCTGCTTTACATATTGAGAACTAATGTCCAGAAAGGGGCTAGGTCATAAAGCAAATCAAATTCCATTTGACACAAAATCTACTTACCATCTACTGTGTGTTAGACACAGTGCTAGTCACTTAGAATATAATGACGACTAAGGATTTCTTCCTCTCATTGTAATGCTACAATGGATCCATTTCAAAAATGAAAACTAATTACTTCCAATGTGCTACATCAGAATGTACCATGTCCTTTTCCTCACCACCTCTGGCAGGGTGTAACATGTTTCTATCCAGGATTTAGGACTCGGGACTCATGTCTGAGATGGCTACAGAACCAAGCAGATGGGAGTGGAAGTGGGTAGGATCTGAAAAATAACATTATGAGAGGAGGGGTCCTTCAAGTTTTCATACATCCAGATGACCACAGTGCTGGATCTGGGCAAGTTGGTAGTTTGGTAGCAGGACCCAGCCAGGTGAGAGTCCAAAGTCCAGGGAGATCAGCAGTAGGAAATTAGTGAGGTGGTGGTGAGTGGGTGAGATTCACACTTCACCTAGAGGACACAAGTCCCTCAACTTAGGAACCAAGCAACAAGCCTTCACAGACAGCTTAAGAACTGAGTTCTTCCAGATGTTAATAGGCATTTTAGGGAAAACTTCCCTGGCCATTTAGGAAAAGCTGGGCCAACCAAAATTAAATGGGTGGCTTCTCTGGCTAGTTGGGAACCTTTACTATTAGGTTCTACGAACCCACCGGTACTGTCTTTGAGCTCTGGAATATATATATATATATATATATATATATATATATATATATATATTTTTTTTTTTTTTTTTTTTTTTTTGCAGAATGCTCATTAACCTGGGCAGCACAAAGAAATACTAGTCTGAGAATCATTCACTTTCACCCTGTCTGGACTCAGAACTGAGTTTATGGGGGTTTTGGCTGGGATTGAGGCTAGAGTTGCAGATAAATTATTCAAAGGGAGAAGGACAACCTCTGTCTGGTCCTCGGCAGCACGTGGATTGGAATGGTTCAGAACCATGCTTCCTTCTTGATTCTTCCACTGCCCACACACTGATGCTTCACCTCCACCTGAGATCTCAGCATTTGTTCTCGTGATGACAGTGTCATAGAGCAAGCCCCTGCTCCCTGTCCTGGCTTATCTTCCTGCCCTCCTTTTTCCTGTTAGACCTGACTTCTCCAGATTGAACGTTTGAAGCATCTTCATTCCCACATATTCCTATATGCTGCAGAATAAGATAAACCCCCAAGGCAATGTCAGGCAGTCCTTGTTCCAGCATGAAACAGAATACTTCTCTACTTTTCATAAGATATCCTCATGCATAAAGAGTCAGAAATCAGATAATTAGGCAGAAATACAGAATTTCTTTAAACGGAGTCAATGTTTAGATATTTATAATAAGTTTGGAGCTATTCCACTTAAAGAATTGCATAGATAATATAAATATCATATGATAGGAAAGTGTCTCTATGTTGAAAGTTATTTTGGTATACATTAAATGAGAGTTAATATAAGAAATACTGTAGTTTAGTGTATGCAGTGGCAAAGGACCAAATTTGGAATCAAGAATCCTGAGTGTGGGCCCTACTTCTGCTGTTTGCTCCCTGGATGACCCAAGACAAATCAGCTAATCTTTCTAAGCCTTTGTTTACTTATCTATAAATGGGGATAATCATCACTGACCTCCCAACCTCATGGGCCCACATGAGACTCAAATGAAATAAAATATGCCGAAGCACAGTATCAACTGTAAAATTCCATACAAACATGAGCTGTTATTGTCAGAGGCATTTTGGGAGTCATGTGTATCCCCAAAGTGGTGCCTACTTTTGATGACCAATGTGCACAACTGGCCTTGGGAGACTTGAAGCCGTGGCCATAAACTACTTTCTTCATCTATGGGGCTTCAACTTCATTCTGAGCGGTGACTTATGCTTGACCCCTATTATGTTCTCTCATCCAAACTTGGCTCACCCTTTCACCCATGCTATAGTCACTGGGCCTACTAGGAATTGAGGCAACACTCACAACTAGGCAGGAAATGACCTCAAGCTCTTTTCAGCCAAGGAACTCTCGCTGCATGAGGGGAGGAGCATGAACTCTTCCTGGCAATAAAAAGCATATCTCCATGTAAACACATGATTCTCTCCAGAGCACTTTAATTGATGAAGTACAAACATATTACACTCTCATGTTTTGAATGGTAATTGAAATAGTATGACATGAAATAAAATGGCCACCGTTCTTTGGATAAAAACAGTCAACTGCTTGTCTAGAAGAAGCCTCTTTTCTTTTTTTATTCTTTGTTTCTGCCCTAATAGAAGTAGCAGGGTTTTTTTTGAGGCAGAGTCTAGCTCTGTCTCCCAGGCTTCGGTGCAGTGGCGCCATCTTGGCTCACTGCAACCTCTGCCTTCCAGATTCAGGCCATCATCTTCCCTCAGCCCCCTGAGTATAGGTGCCCACCACCAGGCCCAACTAATTTTTGTATTTTTAGTGGAGGTAGGGTTTTGCCATATTGGCCAGGCTGGTCTTGAACTCCTGATCTCCAGTGATCCACCCACCTTGGCCTCCCAAAGTACTGGGATTACAGGCATGAGCCCCCCCCCGTTGCCTGGCTGAGAGGTAGAAGTTTTAATGTGATCAACTTAATGTATTGATAAAGAGTTAGATTGCTGACACAACAAATTTTCTCTTATGCCTTAGCTTTCTTCTCATACATAAGAAAAATGAAGTAAGGAAAAATATTGAATCATGATACTAAAATAATCTTCCTGAACTGCCACTGCTCCCACTAGATTACTATTCTGTCACAAAGGAGGTGCTATACACTTGTTAGAGAAATAGTTATTCTATATATAGGCAAGAAAATAAAGTATTTTGTACCAGTCTCTAGAAGACCCTTTCGCCATGTTGAGAATAACATTGACAGACCGAGGATGATGCCAAATTACGTTTTTCTTGGTCCAACAATTTTGTAAGATGTTGAATAATGGTTATTTAATTTAAGGGAAAAGAAGTTTTCTCTTCCATAAAGACTGTGCTTGGAAGGGTAGATAAAGAACCGTTTATCTCTAATCCCTTCATCATAGCTACAGGAACAGAAAAATAGAGTTTCTCTGGGTATAAAACTATTTGCACATAAACCTTTGTTATCATCAAGAAAACCGAATGGAATCTTTCAAATGGCAAACACAGTAATTGTTGAAAGCAAAAGGTCACACTAGATTAGTTTTATTGAAAAAAAAAAAAAGTGATAAAAGCTATTTCTCCCTTTCTAAAACTAATTAAAGAAGCAGATGAAAGAACTTTGCTGTTGTAAACACACTGTTCATTGAAGCGGGCTTCCATTCAATTTCATGCTGGGCTTGCTTAATTATTGTACAAAACACAATAATGAGATTAGTAAACTTGTATGAGCATGAACATATGCATAGGCTGGGCTGTAGTAAAATTCTTGTTGAAAAAGTCAGAAAAATTTCAATAGAAACATACTATTACTTAGATGGAGATGACCCATGGAAACCTATATTACATTCAAATAAAGACTATCCTATTGCTTTATGCTTGTTCATATTTGCATTCAGATCATCTTTCAGGAAAAAAAATCTAAATGTTTTAACAACATGTTGAAGGATAAATATTTTGCTGTTTCTAGTGACTGAAGCTATGAATAATTCAAGTCTTGAGCATTTTGCCTCTGTTATTATTTGAAGTAGAAATAACTGAAGGGACATAGGAAAGCTGCACTCTAGTCTTCATTATCTGTCACTATGTTGTCACTTGTCAATCACTTAAACTTTCTGGGCCTTAGTGTTCTTGTTTGCAACAGGCTTGTTTTAGAAAAGATGATCTGTTATTCTCTATTAAATTATATTTAGAAGCTAATATATGCCTGGGGTGGCAGAAACCTAGATCCATTTACAAATTAGCTTAGAGATGACCACACCCAGATAAAAAATTCCAAGTATTACAAGGAAGTACAGAGGTACAATTGAGGCATTTACTTTCACAGCTTTTACGTTTTATCTTACAATGAGTGCATTTGGGTGAAATGTCCAGGGAAGTGTATAACATCAGCAAGATAATGCATCTCAAGGATTCCCTTTAATGGATTTGTGTCCCACATTTGCTACGTTTTAGTACATACACAAAAAAGGGGTTTTAAATGCTTCATTAAAATGCAGCCCACGGTTATACTTATCTTTTAGTTTTATGCCAAAAAAGATTTGTTTTTCAGAGCTTAGATATTTGCTAGTGTCGTATAAGATACATTGGCCAAGTACAACAATTCTATTCATATAGCAATGAAGTCAATTAAGTTTGAGCTGATGATTTAAGACAGTGTTTAAAGCATTTCTTACCTTAATTTCCAGTACATTTTCATTGCCCATTGAGATCATCACTGGCTTTTCAAAAGGCTTAAACACAGGATTATGTACATAAATGAGATCAAAGTATTTGGAAAGGATCCCATCTAACATGAAAAAGGCTTTGGTTTTCAGGGGGAGTTGCAGATTCAGCTGTTGCAGGGAAGGAGTGGTACAGCAGATTATCTCTGAATTAGAGCGATGCTGACATGCCTAGAGAAAGACACAATTACCCACTGTAAACAGAATATAGCTTGGCAACATCCATAGCAACTTTATAATTCACCACTCCAATCAATGGAAAATATATAATTTTTGAAAAAAAATCTATATTTAACTTCCTAATATTAGACTATACATTTCGGGAAACACGATACATGCAAAATTATCCAAACAACCCAACCGTTAAAGAAACACAGAGCTCCACTTGCCCAGCATAAACTCTGCTGATCTATCTGAAGCTGGCCCAGATCTTGTTTCATTTTCCTTATGAAGACAGGACAGTCACCTGCAGGAACTGTTCCTTGTTGTGTGAGGCAGGCAGGCAGACTGGGAGCTGGGCTTTGTGGGGTTAGAAGCCCTCAGCTCATCTCCTAGCTTTAACCCAAGTTATGGGAACTGAGGCAGGGCCCACACTGAGTAACTCAGTTTCCTCATTTAGGAATTAAGATGAAAATGCTATTTGCTATGTGGGATACCACATGGTAAAGTACTTTGTAAAGTGCCAAGCACCATATGGTGAAAATGATAATTAACTATGTAGTTAGGTAATCTTATTACTGTGTTTTAAGCTACTAATTATTGAATGCCAGGTTCTGTACAAGATTGGCTTCATTTAATTCTCATAATGTCCTATAGGTGGGTATTATGATTATCCACAGTTTACAAATGAAGAAACTGAGCTTTGCAAATTTTTGTCATTAGACCAGGTCTCACAGCTTGAAGTGGCAGAATAGCAAATATAAATCCTAGGCCATTAACTTCAAAATTCACGGTCTTCACTCTCCTGCTATCTTTTTGTTCATGACATATTTCATATTAAAACCTTTTATTATGCTTTCTATTTCACGAAGCCTCTGCTATTATTATTTCATGCCCTTTTATCTCTCATTTCAAATCTTCCTCTCTGGAATTCTGATTTATGGAATGTTGGAAAATGTAGCTTCCTCTTGATTGTACTTAGACTAAACCAGCAACACATAGTGGTACATTTAAGGTTAATGGCTGCGTTTTTCCCCCAAGGAAAAGACAAACAAGCAACAACATCCCTTAGATTTCCTTTTCTTTGGCAAGTATAGTTGGAGATAAAACAATTACTTATACCCACAATAGAAAAAGTACTCAGGATATACATAAAAAAGACAAACAATTTGTTATTTGCTATGTTTTAAAAAAAATTTAAAAATGATCTTACATTAAAAATGTATATTGGAAGCAGATAAAACTGATAGCAGTATAATATGGATGATATTAAATGATATTACTTAGTCTTATATAAAATTAATGTGATAATGCTAAAAGCTATTTATTACTATTGTATTAAAAATGGACATGAACAATTTTACCTAACAAGAAATTTGAGAACTATGCAATAAACTGCAGGCTTCTGGGACATAATGTACACGTTAACAAATTAATATGCATTTTGTTATGAAGATGATTATTTTTGTTTTGAAAGGATTCAAGTTTATTGGACTTAAAGTTATTGTGGCTGGACATACACAGCTAAATCAGACCTGATCAAGAATTTTTATTTGTTAAATAATAAATGGGTTCAATTCATCATGGTCAGCTTTAAATTCTATAAGGGGTAGGGAACATGGAAGGAATACACATTTCTTTATAAAGTAGTTTTCACAAACAACAGTAAAATAAATAGTAAATAGTAAAAGGGATTCACTGAATTTTTCACTTTTGTCCAATTCTAATGCACAATTCTAGTTTCACTGTAGTAACAAGTTTGTGGTTAAACAACAGAAGTTTATATTTCCAGATCTATAAACAAATAAGATGTTTATCTTCTACCATTGTTTGAATCTTCCATGGGATATGCAACTGTTATTTGTGACACCTAAAAAGTTTTTAATAAATATTTGATTACAAATGAATGACTAAAGCTAAGAGGCATTTTGTATGTCACCTTAATGCTAGTGAGGGAGAAGAAAGGAAATTCAGTCATTATTTTAATGATGTAGGCTCAGCATTAATTAGATAAACTAATGATTTCTCAGATTTCTACTTTAAAAAGTCTCATACCAAAACCAAGGAGGGTTACTGTTATCCTTATTTGGTTAATGAAAAATTGTTTTGCATAGTTATGGAGAACTGATGTCCTTTAAATTAATAGCAGTGGTAATCTAACTTTGTTTGTGGCCATGTGTGGGGATTGGTTTCAAAACCCTTTGCTTTATATGGTGACTCCCTAGAGTACAATCTCTCAGAAATATGATAAAAATCTAATAATACTCTGTAGAGGTGATGCAATGTGGCTGATTGAGAAGGCCAAGAAAAATCTTATTTGAGATGACCTTATTATTTGGTGATTTGGCTTGACATTTTTAGCCCCAAATTGGCTTTTGTAATTAAAGAACATTGTGGTTTTAGTCTTCAAGAAATATTGGATGGGAAATCTAAAAAGAAGTGCTGTAATTCAATCTATCACCTGACCAATCAAGACCTTACGTGAGCAAGAGCACTTAGAACTTTCATTCTGAGTTGAGTGCACAAGCCCAACTACATTATGGTATTTTATATCAGAGAAAAACATCAACAAAACATATGAAATCTTCGGAAATAACTCCAACCTTCCTAGGGTCTAATCTAAAACTACCACTTTAATGTGACCTATATGAAATAAGGATAGGTAGAGAAACACCAAACAACATTCACACGTTAGGACATAACATAAATATTCTAATGCTCTTTCTTGTAACTTGATAACATGCTAACGAAGGAACAAGAAGAATGGTAAGAAGAACGGGGGACTGTAAGAAAGCATATGTCTGCTGCTTAGAAAGACAAGAATACTGCCACAAGATCAGCAGCTTTTTCCAAGGATTTTATTAGAGCAAAAGGATTTATGTTCTATGATGCATTATAAAGGGACTAGGGAAATGCTATGATTTCCATTTGTACTGACTGTAAAAACACTGCCTCAGGCCAGATGCAGTGGCTCACACCTATAATCCCGGCTCTTTGGGAGGCTGAGGCGGGAAGATAATTTGAGGTCAGGTGTTCCAGAGCAGCCTGGCCAACATGGGGAAACCTTATCTCTACCAAAAAATACAAAAATTAGCCAGGCATGATGGCTCGTCCCTGTAGTCCCAGATACTTGGGAGGCTGAGGTGGAGAATGGCTTGAATCTGGGAAGGGGAAGTTGCAGTGAGCTGAGATCATGCCATTGCACTCCAGCCTGGGTGACAGGGTGAGATACTGTCTCAGAAAAACCCTCCAAACCAACCAAACCTCCAACAAACAAACATTTTAAAAAAAAAAACAAAAAACAAACAAAAAAACTGTCTCAAATTGGCAATCTTCATTTTTGTCTAAACATAACACATGCATGTGTGTATGTGTATGTATTTTTTCCACATGGTCAGCCCAAGGTTCTAGATAGTTTCAGTTGTTGAATAAAAAATACTATTTGGCTACATTGCAAGGAAGATAACTAGCAAACATTAAAGGCAAAACTGAGATGTCCCAGTTGCCATGAAAGCCACGTTGTAGAGGCAGAGATGCAGAGCTTTGAGTAGAACTCAAATGGTTCTTGAACTTACCACTGTAAAGTTCCTTCTTGCTTCATGCAGATTTATGACCATCCTCGGAACACTAACTGAATTCAGGTTTTTCCCAATACCCGTTATTGTGCTCCCACCACTGGCAAATCGAAATAGAAAAATAGACAATATTGAGAGGTTCTTTCCACCAAGTACTATAAGACAGGGGTTCAATTTAATCACATGCAGTGATTACAGGTTGGAGGCACAGCCAACATCAGATGGAAGTTCAAGGGTAACTGTTCTTTAGATGAAACTTATTTAACTTGAAAATATTTTTAAAAATTCATATTTCATAAGCTTAAGAAATGCATTTGTATTTTATTCACTGAATTACATAAAAGAAATATTTCACCTTTCTGAAAAAAATACAAAGAAAACCTGAACTTAACTATTGTTGCTAGACTGATAGAATTTATGGAAACAGGTAGACTGAACTGGGTCCAATGAGATTCCAATTCAAAGAGAGTCTGGTATAAGGAAAAGCTGTGTGTAAAGCAGGCAGGACAAAAAAATACTCCAAAGAATGGAAGAAAAAATGTGATTTCACTTCTGGGCACTAAAGTTAGTATATAATTGATATGTACATAATGTAATTGCATGTATACTACAATGCCACGTTAAACTATTTTGTTATAATCTGTTTAAATATAATAGAATAGGATAAAATACTTCTTGGCATGAACCAGCATTGATAAGTCAATTGTACTCAGAATCCGAATGTAGTTTTCTCTCCTGAATTGGAAAGGCAGCGTTCAAAAGCAACACAACAGCATCAAAGCCAGAGATAAAACTGTAATTCCGGCCAGGTGCTGTGGCTCATGCCTGTAATCCTAGCACTTTGGGAGGCCGAGGCGGGTAGATCACGAGGTCAAGAGATTGAGACCATCCTGGCCAACATGGTGAAACCCCGTCTCTACTAAAAATACAAAAATTAAGCCGGGCGCGGTGGCTCAAGCCTGTAATCCCAGCACTTTGGGAGGCCGAGGCGGGCGGATCACGAGGTCGAGAGATCGAGACCAACGTGGTCAACATGGTGAAACCCTGTCTCTACTAAAGATACAAAAAATCAGCTGGGCATGGTGGCGCGTGCCTGTAATCCCAGTTACTCAGGAGGCTGAGGCAGGTGAATTGCTTGAACCCGGGAGGCGGAGGTTGCGGTGAGCCGAGATCGTGCCATTGCACTCCAGCCTGGGTAACAAGAGCGAAACTCTGTCTCAAAAAACTAAAAAAAAAAAAAAAATACAAAAATTAGCTTGGAGTGGTGGTGCGTGCCTGTAGTCCCAGCCACTCAGGAGGCTGAGGCAGGAGAATCACTTGAACTCGGGAGGCAGAGATTGCAGTGAGCCAAGATTGCACCACTGTACTCTAGCCAGAGCAAGATTCCATCTCAAAAACAAAACAAAACTAAACAAAAACTGCAATTCCTCTTGACTATTCTACAGCAAAATTATCCTTGTATTTATTATTTTCTTTTACCCATTAGAGGCTTTTACTTACCTAATAAAAGATTTGGTTGGATGAATTTCATAGACAATAGGGTCTTCCCGGTAACTGAAGATGCTTGTCTCTCGGTTGGCTAAGTCAATTTTCAATTTAACAGGAAACTCAGTTGAAATGGTTTGGGCTGGGGTATAACATTCAAGAATACTGTTTGACACACTGACCAAAAAAAATTAAGAAAATGAATCTTAGCTATTAGAGATACATATATTTTAGAATTATATCCATGAATCAAAAGGGTATAACTCAATGGCTTCTGAGTGGGAATTTCCAGAGTGGTCTAGATAAAAGCTGTTTCTAGTGTTGGCTGTTTAATCTGACTGGATCCCAAACTTAGCTTTGTTGTAGACAAGCTATCCTTGACTGGAAAACATTTGGGATTTTAAGAAACCTTTAAAGTGCTTTTGATACTTGATTAAACTGAGCTCTTCCAACTCTAAGAAGCAGAAGCATAACCGCCTTCCAAACCCAATCTTCCCCACTTCTTCCCTCTCCAGAGTGACTCAGTCTAATTACAAATCTTGATGAAAATGTTTATTTTAAATTACTGTCAATTACCAGACTCTCACAGCCCATAGTATAGCTTAGACCCTAAGCTGTAACAATAAAGAGGGTGGATGGGAAGACAAAACAGAAAAGCAAGATTTTTAGAAAACAGGAGAAGGGAATAAAAATCAGCAAAAGGAATAGATGAATTTGGGAAGGAGGAAGTTTTGTCAGCAGGAGAGTAAACAAATAAACATCTTGATTTTTTCTACACACACACACACACACACACACACACATACACACAAACACACAAATCTGCTTACTTTTTTAGGTACAGATATTAATTCAACTTGATGAATGCAACAAAAATAAATTTACAACACCTTTTTAAAGTACATGTTTTTCCACCAATTGAAATGTGTCTAGAATTCCCACTGTTTAGGTAATTTCCAGTTAAAGTAAGTAAAGTGCCACCAGACATAGGACCATATCTCGGGGAAATACTTGTTATTATAGGATCCTGGATGGGAGATAAAAACAGAACAAAGTAACTTACTCATCTTATAATTTTAAATAGATTAAGTAAAAATCAAACATGATGGGATAGGATCTTCCTTACCACATAGGAAAATGTACTATATTGTGTTGTTCCGTGGGCGTTTGAAATAATTATGGACATATTGAAATGCTCATTCATGGCAGGACCAACTGTGCATTTCAATCTGGAAAAAAAGAAGAAAAAAAGACCCAAAACCCAAAGTTTAATACTTGAAAATCCAAGGCATTTTCTAGTTAGGCTGTTTTATAGAAAGTGACATTAACTCTAAATGGTGAGCTGACTGCTTTGAATAGCAAGCAGAGTTTCAAGATAAGCATTAAGGCCAAAAGTTGTAAAATTCTATTTCTATACTATGATAAACTTTATTTTTATATTTTTAAAATAAGAGACAGAATCCTGCTCTGTCACCCAGGCTGGAGGGCAGTGGCATGGTCATAGCTCACTGCAGCCTTGAACTCCTGGGCTCAAGGGATCCTCTGACCTCAGGAGTTGAAACTAGAGGTGCATGCCATAGCATCTGGCTAATTTAAAAAAATCTTTTTTTGTAGAGACGGAGTCTCACTATGTTGCTCAGGCTGGTCTTGAATTCCTGGGTTCAGGTGATCCTCCTGCCTTGGCCTGCTAAGGTGCTGGTATTATAGGCATGAGCCACTGCACCCTGCTTATACTATATTTTACATTAACTGTACTATAGTATTTATACAGACAAACAGGAAATATTAAACCTTACCAATGCAGACCTCGCCAATTGAATAGTGCATAATAATGTACGTTGAGATAATATTAATATTTGGGGATAATGTTTGGTTTACTTAAGATAGTATTTCAGTAGCATATGAAACAATGGGCTAACTGCAAATAGGCCAATTTCTTCATTAAAGTATGTCAACAGGTACATTTCTGTGGTTATACTTGTCACATGTTTATTTAAATTACTTAAAGAATAATGAAATTGTGATGGGCATTCCATGGAATTATTTCTTAATGAATAATCATATAGTTCTGAAAAATTTAAATCCAATTTGATTTATTACATAACTTTTTAAAGAAGAGAATGAATTACGCTTTAGTTTTACAGGTCCTGATTTATAATGTAATGATTAAGAGTTTTGGAGAATTTACAAGAAAGATTTCTAGAAAAAAAATTTGTTTCATCATTCAGCTAACAAATAATACCTTCGTTAGTGTTTTGGTCTCAGTAAAATGGATAGATTTGGACCTTTGTGTAACCCTGAAATGAATTATATTAGATATAAAACAATCACCTGATAGAATAGGTTTCATTGTAAAGATTCAGTCATAAAACTTTAAATGTTTGGTTATTGTTACTGTGTGATAATGAATAATTTCTGGATTCTCAGATGATTATGGAATTAAAAGCTTGTAGAAGGGTACAAGTAGAATACAGTAGAACAAGCACAGGTCTTGGATCAGAAGCTGATCAGAGCTGAGTCTGAAGGTTTGTTCAGCTCTTACCCTCTGGATTAACTCTGCTAAGCCACACTTCACCTCTCTGAACTTCAGGTAACTCCTTTGTGTTATAGGAATAATACTGCTGCCTCCCAGGATCGTGGGGGTGGTTAAGTGAGATACAGTCCATATATTGCAGGGCCAGTAAATATAAACTGAATATAAATTTTAACTCATCTAAAGAAGTCCTAAACATGTAATTCAGCTGCCTCATTACATTTCTGGGGATTAGAAAATGAATTTAAAAGAGAAGATCCATGCTGAGCTCTTTACTGATTTCTGTAGAAAAAGCCTTTGGAGACTCTACATTTCAAGACTCTAAGGATAGAGTGATCCTAACTAGTGCTATTCTTGCAAATCTACTGAGACAGCATCTGAAGACTTGTCACATAAATGGTTGAGAAACTCCCAATGCTGGCTGCTTCTCCTCACCTAGGCCATGTCACCTTTCTCTCTCTTCAAACCCAGTGAATAAATAGGATTCCAAGAAAAAACAGAACAGACCCACAAGGCATGTGACAGGCCAAGACCCTTTTTAATTCAAGAGATAAGTGTTTTGAGCAATTTTAAAACAAATATTCATTCAAAAACAAAAACCTATCTTCCAAGCACACCCCAGCAAAACATTTTAAGATCCTTACGTATTCATCGTGCTCTCACTTAAGGTCAAGGTGCAGCTCTCATTTCCAAGGAGAACTCTAGTTTTCTTTAAATCGAATTTATTATTCCTCCGAAATCCAAAGTCCCAGCCACATATGGTCAGCCTTGTCCCTCCTTCAAGGGGTGCACTAGTTGGGAAAACCTACAAGGACAACATAGAACTTAAAAAAAATTCAATATATTATAATTTTTCATATGTGTGGAAAATAAACAAAATATGTAACCTTAAATAGTCTGAAATTCTTCCATTTTCCCACAATTTAGTAAAAATTGAATGTTCACTAAACGAAAAAGGGTCACAAATTTGAGAGCATCTGGAACAAGCAATTAAAACTACCTGACATGCTAATGAAACACGTTGTTTTCAGGAGGTCCAGAGATGGGACAAAGAGCAGATGCAACCTGGTAGGAATAAAGGGCCTTTTGAGTCCCTCTGTATTTTCTTTCTTTCTTTCTCTCTTTCTCTTTCCTTCTTTCGTTCCTTCCTTCTCTTTCTTTCTTTCCCTTTTTCTGTTTCCTTCCTTCCTTCCTTCCCTCCCTCTCTCTCTTTCTCTCTCCCTCTCCTTTCCTTTCTTTCTTTTTTCCCTGCCTCCCTCCCTTCCTTCCCTTTCTCCTTCCTTCTCTCTCTCTCTCTCTCTTTCTTCTATTTCTTTCTCTCTCTCTTCTCTCCCTCTCTTTTTCTTTCAAGATAGAGTCTGGCTGTGTTGCTCAGGTTGGAGTGCAGCAGCGTGATCATGGCTCACTGCAGCCTCAACCTCCTGAGCTCAAGCAATCCTCCCACATTAACCTCCTGAGTAGCTGGAACCACAGGTGTTGGCCACCATGCTGGGCTAATTGTATGTTTTTTTTTTTTTTTGTAGAGACAGGGTCTCACTATGTTGCCCAGGCTGGTCTCAAACTCCTGAGCTCAAGTGATCTTCCTGCCTTGGCCTCCCAAAGTGCTAGGATTACAAGCATGAGCCAGGGCATTTGGCCCTTTCTGGGCCATTCTGAAGTGAATTCATCTTCTAGGGATCTTTCAGGCAGGAGTAGAAACACGTTAGGCTCAGACTTTTACTTTCTCATAACTCTGACTGTAACTCTTCATCAGCCTTCAGACTGAGCTCAGATTAAACTTCTTCATGTGCCCTATAAGCCAACATCCAGCCATTATGCCTTGCTCTGTGCACTGGCTGTGTGCACTACATTCTGGTTGCTATGGTATTCCCCACCCAGAAACAAAAGTTGCACAGTAAAAATACCTTTTTTGGTATCTAATGTTTACCAGTTGCATTCAGCAGCTAGCATAATATAAAACACAGAGATGGTTTTGAATACATATCTGCCATTCGTTCATTCATTATTTATTTTATTTTTTAGAGATGGGGATCTCTTACCCAGTCTGGAGTTCAGTGGCACAATCCTAGCTCACTGCGCCCTAAAACTCCTGGGCTCAAGCAATCCTCCCACCTCAGCCTCTCGAGTGGATATGGCTACAGGTGTTCGCCACCTTTCTCAGCTAATTTTCAAATTTTCTGTAGAGACGGGCTCTTGTTATGTTGCCCAGATTTCATTCATTATTTATTAATAAAGCACCTCCTGTGTGCCAGGAACCAACAAATGAGTAAGTGAATCTACTTTTTATACCTATTAATTCACGTTTATTAATGACTGTAGATTTTCCCTTTTTCTTTAAATATGGTTACTATTTGATGTATAGCAGGCTGGTTAGTTGACACACTCAGCCTTTTAAAATTTATGTAATATTTAATACATATGATATGTTGTTTTTATTAGAAATAGATAAAAACAGAACCAGAGAGGGTCCAAAATCAGTATTGTAACAATTTTTCCTAGCTATCTTCATTGGCATTATTTTACATCTCATTTATAGGATTAAATTTTACCCACAATGGGTGATGTTAAGTAAACAACAAGTTCATTTTATTATTGCAGACTCACTTTTGGTGTGTTATCAATGAATTTATTGATAAAACTTAATCAGTCATGATTTCAGACAGCATTAGGTACCTATGAAGTCTGTAAGATAACTGCTCTCAGGCTAAAACTATTAAAACGAAACACATTTCCAAGTTAAAAATAAGCTTATTCTCAGCAGCTTTGTGACAATTGAGAAAGGAAATGCTCTTTTCGGGGCAGGGACATATTGTAAATTGTGCTATAAAGTACAATGGTGGGAAAACCAAGATAGAGGCAACTCAAGAACCAGTAAAGGTATTTGCTAAAACTCAGTTTGCGAACATCTAAAAGTCATTCTTTCACAATTAAGAAGGGCTTTTAGCTAAATTCAGATTTGCAAACATTTCCATCCTTCCTAAGTAAATAATTGCAAACCAAAGTCATAACTCACTGATGTTATCAAACCCCTTTAAAGTTTTAGCTTAAAGCTTTTATGATAGCCATTTTATCCATAAAAATCCATTACACAGTTGGCCTTTTCTGAAAATTTACCTCATCCATGTCTTGTCAAATGAGAACTGCTAGAAAAAAATCTGTTTATTATTATTATTATTATTATTATGGTAGAAATCCAGTAGGAGAGAACGAGACATCCAACCCTCCCAGGATTCTCTTCAGCCCGAGGCAGTCACACAGCTGCTGCGGGCTCTTCTAATGAGCCTTCCCCATTGAAAACAGCTGCCCAAGGCTGATGTTGGCCTGATCCCACTGCCTACATCCTGCCTTTCTATGTAAAAACTGAAATCTGTCACTCTACGCACATCATCACCATCACTTTCTACAAAGGGACTGGGTGATGATTTGAGAAAAGACTCCCAGAGCTGTGCAACTGGGACAGTGGCAATAGGAAGAGATATTATAAGCCCTCTGCTAGCCCCTCCAGATCCGAAAGCCTAGCTCTGCTTAGCTTTTCTCTCTGGACTGGGCATTTTCCCCTCAGCTTATGGGTTAACCTTTACCCTTCCAGGGAAAAAGGAAGGAAGCAGTTGTGAACTACACACCCTTGGATAGACCCAACAATGGCTGGCAAACTCCAAGTTATCCTGAAGGGCAGAGAAACTCTATGGGCAGGAAATGAGCGTCCGGCATAAAGCCACAGAGGCTGGATCTCCTACCTGCCTGGATAGGGGAGATTCAGCCACAAATGTAGCCCTTGTCTTTTCACAGGTGAATCACATCACTGATGGGCCCATTCCAACAGTATTTTAAATGATCATGTTTTCAAAACCCATTAGGATAAAACTTGAAAAAACTAAAAAACAAAACCAAAACAGAACAAAAAAAATTCCAAACAAGATCTCCTTTCCTCTTCAGGAAAAAAAGTCACAAATGTATTTACTGGTGGCAGTATACCACTTGCCTAGCCTCCTACCCTCATATAATACTGCTTTTCTGAGTATTCTGATCATTTAATAAACAGTTTTATTGCCTCACTGGGGTTGAATTTTCAAGCCTACAAGATATGATAATTTTATCCTAATACATTCACAATATATTGGAAAGTGCTCTTTCTTTTCTGAAGCATTTCTCATTGCTATTTAAGTATGAGATCAGATACCATGGTTGATGGAAAATAATGGGCTTTCAATCCTGAAATCTCTCATATCTAGAAATGCAAAGAATTTCAGCCACTGAACATCATGTACCTTGAAAAGCAGTTTAACTTGCATGTATTAGAAAGTGAAACTCTACACATTAGCTGGACTTTGTGCCTGCAAAGTTTAGGACAGATAAGAAATAGATGAATAATCTGTTTTTTTTAAAGTTATACTTTAAGTCCTGGGATACATGTGCAGAATGTGCAGGTTTGTTACATAGGCATACATGTGCCATGGTGATTTGCTGCACCCATCAACCTGCCATCTACATTAGGTATTTCTTTTATTTATTTATTTATTTATTTATTTTTAAAGAAAAAAAGAAAAAGAAAGAAAGAAAAAAGAATGAAGGCGAGGAAGAAAGAGGAAGAGGAAGAGGGAGAGAGAACAGGAGTGTTGCTTTATCGCCCAGGCTACAATGCAGTCTAAAAATGGGTATTGAAAACCTCTTTTATGCCAATAATTGTGCTTAATAATGGAGACAGGAAGAAATGAGGAAAGAAAATAACAAACAAGCAGCCAACCGATATTTCATTTAAACCTGTGAAATGCTGTGCAATTACTGAGGAGTGATTTACTTCCAATTATGTAGTCACTTTTAGAGTAGGTGTGATGTGGTACTGATAAGAGTGTATATTTTGTATATTTGAAGTGGAGAGTTCTAGAAATGTTTATTAAGTTTACTTGTTCCGGATCTGAGTTCAAGTCCTGGATATCCTTGTTAGTTTTCTGTCTCGCTGATCTGTCTAATATTGATGTTAAAGTTCCCCAGTATTATTGTGTGGGAGTCTAAGTCTCTTTATAAGTCTTATGTATCTGGGGGCTCCTGTATTGGGTACGTATATATTTAAGATCGTTTGCTCTTCTTGTTGCATTGATCTTTTTACCATTATGTAATGTCCTTCTTTGCCTCTTTTGATCTTTGTTGCTTTAAAGTCTATTTTATCAGAGGTGAGAATTGCAACTCCTGCTTTTTATTTATTTATTTATTTCTGCTCTCCATTTGCTTGGTAAATCTTTCTCCATCCCTTTGTTTTGCGTCTTTGTGTGTCCTCGAAACTGAGATGGGTCTGGATGCAGCATACCGATGGGTTTTGTCTGTGTCTTTTGATTGGGGGATTTGGTTGATTTAAATTTAGGATTAATAATAATATATGTGAGTTTAATACTGCCATTTGATGCTAGCTGGCTGTTTTGTCCATTAGTTGATGTAAATTCTTCATTATGTTGATGCTCTTTACTTTTTTGGTATACTTTTGGAAAGGCTGATACTGGTTGTTCCTTTCTATGTGTAGTGCTTCTTTCAGAAGCTCTTGTAAAGCAGGCCTGGTGGTGATGAAATCTCTGAGTACTTATTTGTTCACAAAAGATTGTATTTTTCCTTCGCTTGTAAAGCTTAGTTTGGCTGGATGTGAAATTCTGGGTTGAAAGTTCTTTTCTTTAAGGATGTTGAATATTGGCCCCCACTCTCTTCTGGCTTGTAGGGTTTCTGCTGAGAGATCAGCTATAAGTCTGATAGGCTTCCCTTTGTGGGTAACCTGACCTTTCTCTCTGGCTGCCCTTAGTATTTTCTCCATTTCAACCC